TGTGTGTGTGTGTGTGTGTGTGTGTGTGTGTGTGTGTGCATAGGCCTATATAAGGAATAATGAGTTCAATAGAAAGACAGGGGAGGAAGAATTGATTAAGAAAGTCAAGAAAAGAATGCTGGCATGTTATTGGCACATATGGGCACATGCTCCGTTTAGATGAAAACACACTCCAGCTAGAATCGCATTCCTATACAGGCGCAATATTGGTCATATGAACATAATATCAAAAAAAGCAGAAGTATATCATTAGCCATAGCTAAAAAAAAACTCAACCTAGCATTGGTAAAGCACTCCAAAAGCAAATTATAGCACAATGCTATAGCAGATTGCCTGATAATTATGCTACTTATTGATAGGCATATTGATATTGGTCTGATGTAGCTGGTTGTAGCAGTTTCAAGTCCTAAATATCACCATTATAGCATTGTAATTAAAAATATAGCACTTTAACTTATACTTGCTTTGCAATATGTTTATGTAACTGCTATATAATTGATACATGTATTTTATGTATCATTTAACTACTACAATCAATGATATTTGCAGCTGTATAGCAGAGCGAAAGGTAACACGTCCGCAGGGACGGCCAACAAGAACATGGATGGCCAACATCAAGAAGGAAACCAGATTTTTGACACACTGGTCTAGCACCCACTTGCCCAAAAACGCACCGAATGGCGGAATTTAGTGACGCGCGATGTCTAACGACGACTAGCGTTCATGAAGAAAAATATGCATATTAATTTTAATTAAAAGTGTGACCATATGTTAATGTGTTAACCAAAGAAAGGAGTGAAATGATACGCTTTTTGGAGAGAGAATGTCAATATTGTTAACATAATGATGCATGAAGAGCCTTAAATAGCTAATGGAAGCTTGGTGTTATTTTGTATAAAATAAATTGGGAATTTAACAGTGAGTAGTAATAGTAACATGAGATTGTGCTTACCTAAATTGAAATTAACAATGAAAGTATATTTATTACTAGTCATGGCATGGTCATGGTTATAGTTGCATGGTATTGAGTCCAGTTAGGTTTTACATTTTTCAGTTCCCGACTGACTGGGAACAGGGATATAGCCAATGGTGGGTCTT